CCTCAATCGGATGCCTAGACAAATATCCGCTTCGCATAACTTGCTATACTCATAGGCCTTTTTAATGATGCCTTCCCTTCGCCGTTCTCTCATTTGCCGGAATGCCTTCCTTGAAGGGGCTCTCTTTTTCTTGTTCTCATGGAGAGGGGTCTCTAATGCCATATCGCGAATACTATTAGAAATGCAGCCAGATGATGTAGAGAATCACAAATATTTCTTTGTTTGTGTTATCATCTAAAGCAGGGGTCTAGCTGAGGATGGCTTAGATATATGAGTTAGGAGAGCCGTGGTTTTCGGATCATACTAAAATCGTGGTCTTCAGCAGAGAGACAATCTATGGGAGTTCAACACCATCAACTATCTGAGGACCTTAGGCTTTGCCCATCCCTTGTTGAATTGACCGTTCACCTCATGTTGACCAGTAAGAAGATGATTTGCCTGGTCAACTCGCGAGGAGATGCCTGGTGATCAACAAATGAAATAGCCTGCGCCGTTTGGTTACGTCATAAACCAATGGATCATGTTGACCACCACATAAACAGCTAGGCAACAGGCTCATGGGAACCACTGATAAAAACGCCCCACATGTTAAGCTACGGATGAATGGTCAGGGTTGAACGGTTAAAGAACAAAAAGCATCGCCCTTATCTGGTTAATGACCTGGGCAAATGTCCATGCATCTGGCGTTTATTGTCAAGCGCTCCGGTTTTGAGCACCCGAAAGTCCTAGATTTTGTTTCCTGGCTGCACTCTGGGCTTCAGATCCTGACCGCGTGGTTCTAAATCTCCAGTCATGGAGAGAATATACTAGAATGGATGCCAAGGCGGGCTTGAGAGTGAATATGGAGAATTATACCTATTGATTTTGGGCGCCGCCCTACCTTGGTCAACGAGACCGGCTCCTACCATGAGGTATGGCAGTTGATTTTGGCTGGTTGATGGGCCCTATGCTCTCGTGTACCAGTCCCGTACCCAAGCAGCACAGTCGGCTTACATCCAAGAAAGAGCTTCTGCGCAATAACACACCAACGACATATCACGAGTGACAGACTGGTTCTGTTTATTGTTGAGCCATCCTAAGGACTTGTGTCCAACATGCTAGGATGCTGGAGCGCTTCGTGCCGCTTAACTCGGGGCTTCTTGACGTCCTTGGCACCCGTCGGCGGCTTCCATACTGCCTCGACACACCCCGACTATTAATGATGCCTGGTAGATCCTAAGTCAAAGTGTTCAACCTTCTGTGCTTGAGGTCTCCCAACCCGTGAACTACTGGTGTGTTCTCGGTCAAGGAAGGGAGATTCAGACTCACAGGGGAAGGGAATGGTTAATGGACTCGAACTGCTCTTTTCTTTGACCGTCGCCCGAAACCACGACGCAGCTCTCGTCCCTGGGGATCTTCCATCGATCTTGGCTGATTAACCGGCCCTGTCCTCTTAATTATTTACCTGGGCAAACACGCCTATTGGCTGATAGAGAGCCCGCAGGCCATTGTCCTATTAACGGGCAAGGCAATTCAGATTCAGAGGGCTATGCGAGCCTGGACCAGCGTTCGCACATAGCGAAAGAGCTTCTGTCATACGTCATTTTTTTGATGAGCGGAGGGGATTGAACATCGTTCCGTGGTCCAGACCCATGGTGAATTGCGTCCACGATTATTGGCTTAGCGTTCTCCTTTCTCCACCTTGGAGTACCGGCCAGAAAACGTCTCTATGGAAACCCCTGGAAGATCCCGACACCGCACCATTATAAATCAACCGCAGCGGTACTATGGCAGGGCTGTCCTGTCAGGAACCATGGAGGCAGCAATTTATGCCCTAACAAGCAAAAAAATCGACGAGATATTCGCGCTTTTTGGGATTAAGAAGAGTGAGCGGATAGACCCACTTATCACCGAGCTGTCCGGTATAGGTGAGTAGGTGGCTTGCATTTACAGTGCGATCCCTGGCTAANATGGGTTTGCCATGGCTAACGTGCTGCGCTGCCGTGTCGCGTAGTATGGTTGCAGGCTTGCGGGTAGGAGTGTAGACATGGAAGTACATGGAAATAGGAGGCTTCGGGGGTAATGGATGGTTCATCGGGATCGATGGGCGTGAAGCCGGGAAAGTGCAGGGCAAGGGAGAGCAAGACAGAGGGCCATTGTAAGAAACTTGGCGATCCATCCTGGGAGATAGGCAAATTGGGAAGCAAACTATGGTGTCAAAGGAACGGGTGAAGGTGTCTGCGTTGCTTTCAATTTAAGGCGGGCGAGGGTATTTATAACCCGTGAATCAAGCGACTGGTCTTTATTCTCTGGCGAAAAGGAGAACATCCCCGAAAGCCGAACCGACGCTGCTAAGGTTGATCCTGCACTCCCTGCTCGTATGTACGCCTAGGGCCTTGGAATGGCACGCTGTATAGTGCAAAGGGGCCATTCCAAGGAACTGATTGGGGTATTATCCAGAAAGAGTAAATGCTGGAGGAACGGCGCAGATTCAGCGGAGCACATGCAACCCTCGGAACTCGACGAAATTCCACAGGCAACACTGCAACAGCAAATAGCCGTACTTGCAACGTCATGTTTTCCACAGACGTCTATCACGGGGTGCAACATGCCGGATGATCGAGCACCAATCGGCCACGATTCGGGCGAACAAAGACTCCAGAAGAATGTGGTCGACGGCGATGACAGGCAACAACAGCCAGCGGGGCTGTAGATGAGGCATTTATGCTATTGGACATACTCGTCCAAGGCACTTCCTCATCTCCAGCCGGGCAATCCATTCGTGGTCCAAACGCGCGAGATCAGCACGACTGGGAGGGGAATGGGGGCCGAGAACGGAGGCGCAGGGCGGGCGACGGCCGGAAAAGGACGGAAGGTGGGGCAGGCATCAGGCGTAACACGCAATCAGCCATGGTTGGCGCCTGTTGCAGGTTTGGAGGTCAGACGCTTTCTTGGACAAAGAAAGTTGGAGAGGTAGATACCATAGGAGGCCGATAGGCAACATGAGCAAACTAAATCAACACTCCGGCAGTGGCAGCTGGATGAGGAAAGGATATAAATCATTTCGCCGGATAAGGTAGATCAAGAGAGAGCCAAAAAAAAAGTTCAGCTAACAAGCCCGTTCAAGCTAACGGGAGAAGAATCTGGGACCGGAGGTGACGAGAAACAGGGCGCAGCCGCATTTTCCGAAGGGAGAAAAGGGGGCGAAGCAGGTGGGCGTCCTTGGAGTAGGTGAGACGACGGGTCACGACCGGGCGGGTGCAGAATATGGGAGGGAGAATGAGGGAAAATGAAGGAGAGACAGGCAGAACAGCGAGGAGGGTTCTTATATACTCAAGAGGGGCCGGGCGGGCGGTGATGACAATACGGCGTACGGGGCGGCTATCCCGGAAACGGCCAAACTAACCGGAAGCGGGAATTCACAGGTCCTCGCTTTACGAGCTCAATATTCAGTCTCTCTAATCGCGATGTGAGGGGAAGTTCAAACTCAATGTACTTTGACACCTCATTTGGGAACAGAGAGGAGAGATTGGGAGAGGGGGACCTGCTACATTCTACCAGCTTACTTGATAAGGATAGAGGAATACCCCTGTCAGTATTATGTGCGAGTTGTAGAATTAAGTGTTAGTATTCCGCGGGATATCACTGCAGGAGAGCTTTCCCCGTTTGTAGACATGCTAAATATAGGGTGGGTTCCTGGGTGCAAAAGTTATTAGCTTATGAACATTGGGACTCTTGGGATCTATCAGACCATTCTCAAGAAGTGATATCCTCGATCCTAGGAACACAATGGTTGTTCGAGGAAACACTAAGGCCCCTGGAACCATGGCGTTAGTTCTCGGGAGCAATAGGCTTATACTCGGTAACTCCGCTTCTGCAGGCCTCTATGAGCTGCCATTTAGTTCAAGGTGGATAGAAGTCTTGGTATACAAGTTATGTTAAGAGCACTTCTCCTACTCCATCAAATTGATTGGCCGAATAATGACCTACTGAAGGCTTCACATCTCAGAGGCCACTCCAGCCAATCATAGCCTTTACCGCACTCTAACAACTATTGGACAAAAACTACCCCTTTCTCCACATGGGAGTAGCAAAAGAGGTTCCATATGAATTCAGACATTCAGCCATTCAATCACCGTTCCAATTCGTGTGGATAGCTATTGGATCTTATCCTATCATCAGACTCGGGCCATGTTTTATCCCTCTGAATCATATACAAACAAACAAACAATTTATTAACGCCCGGCGGCTGAGCCGAAAGGGCAACTATCACTAATATACTAGTACATTTCCTATCAGGTGCCATGTCTCCTTCTAGCCCATACAATTTAACCTTTAACATATGTCATGCCGTCTATCAGGATCGTAGGAGATTCTCGTGGGTTAGTAGTTTTGTTAGTAGGCTGTCTTGAAGGCGCTTCTCCAAGTGTTCAACATCCCATCTTCGGCAGTTGAAGCGCGCCTACCGTGTCTGCCACGAGGTGGTTGGTGTGAGTTAGGTTGGGAGGAGTGGGTGATTTGTGTTCGACTATAAGGTTAAGCGGCGTCGAGTCGGCTGGTGGCGATTGCAAACCGTATTGACGCCCGTACCACTTCTAAGTTTGGAATCCAGTATTGAATATCTGAGGGCGAATTCCCGCCCAAATAGAAGGATATGTTGCCTCGGTGTGTGTTGGTGCATTGCAGCATTTCTGTCCGATGTGTCGTCCATCTCCGACATCGAAAGAGAAAGTGCTCTACCGTCTCTCTTGCTTGTCCACATTCACACTGATCGGTTTCCGCAACGTTGATTCGGTAGAGGTATCCGTTTAATCTTGCCATGCCCGTCCGGAGCTGGGCCAGCACGCTCGCTTCTTTCCATGGTAATCGATCATAAAGCTGTCGAGTGTGCTTGCCTGGGAGGGCCGCGTCGACCCTTTTCACGTGTCTGCCTACTTTCTCGGGCAGGCCTTTGCTGGTGTCTTGTTGGGATCGTGCGATGTTGAGAGTGGTTGACTTCATCCTGGAGAGCTGTATGTATGGCATGGGGTCCTCTTGGGTCGCCGCTCTGGCTTGCACTTTAGCGAGGCCTAACAGTTTGTTATCCTCACTTGTGGAGACCCAGCGGATTGTGATCCTGTTTCCATTTTTCCGCAGTCTTCTGATTAGCTTGTATATCAGGCAAACGTGCTCCTGGCCCGACTGTTGTCGCGGGTTCCCCAGTGTGAGTGCGGCCGCTTTGTTACTCGTTAGCAGCGTGATTCTGTACAGTTTCAGTACTGGTAGCGTCTTCAATGCGTGTGCCATTGCTGCCAGCTCTCCCGAGTATGGGTTCTGCTCCGATCTTGCGCCAAGTGTGATGGAGAAGGTCTTTAGTCTTGGCTTCTTGTACTTGGGCGGCTGCTTTTGAATCACTCCGCCAAATCCCACTACCTCATTCCGTGCCGAGCTGCTGACTGCGATCTGCATAGATCCGCCGGCTTCTGCTGGTGACTCTGAGGTTCCTCCAATATCGGTCTGCAGTCGTTCCTCCCATGGTGCTAATGTGAATGGATTGATGGTTTCCAGTGTTTCCATCTCGATGTTTTTCAGCACATCTGCCACCTGGTATAACGGCGAGCGGTGGAATCTTCGGAATTTCCTGATACGATCCGTATTTCTGCGGAGTGGGTTGGTTTCTGGTAGGGTGTGGATGTCCGTCCACATCTTCACTGCCCGTATCCAGAACCGGCTTTGCGCCGAGGAAATGTGAGCCTCTGCTTCCGCCACACTGGTTGCAAAGGTGAGGAAAGTTCCCACTATAGCTTGAGCTCCAAACCGTTGAACCCGGTTAATGGGCCCGCTGGCCTTATCATTAAAAGCGTGCATCCAGACATTAGAGGCATAGTCCACCACTGGGGCAACAGTTGACGTGAACAACTGCCGCGCTGTTGAGGGAGATAAGCCTTTGAGTCGTTTGAGCTCCATTGCTGCTTCTAGGCCCTTGGACGCTGCCCTGGCTATGTGTGCCTTGTATTTAAGTCTAGTATCCATCAGCACTCCAAGGATCTTGACGTGGTCTTTGGGTTCAACGGTTTGTCCCTTGATGGTGAAAGGCTCCTGTTCTGATTTGTGTGCTTTGGGGGTGAAGTGTATGATGGCAGTTTTGTCCGCTTCGAACGTCGCTCCACTCCTCCTCTCCCAGTCAAGAGCTTCATTAATAATTGCCTTAATACCTTCCCGGTTGCTCTGCGCAGTTGGCCCGGTCACCCACGCGGTGAAGTCATCCACGAAAGCAATCGCTCCGCCGCGGCTGTCGATCTGTCGTTGCACGAGGTCTGCGTTAAAGAAAAGGAACAGGATCGGCGATAGGGGAGAGCCCTGCGGTAGTCCTGCCTGTGGGAGGCTTTGTACCTCGGACCCTTGCCCATTGATTTGGATGGTCGCTGTTCGTTCCGAGCAGAAGGCCTCGATCCACCGGATCAGACTTTCTGGTATGCCTCGAGCTTTCATCCTCTGAAGTAGTCATTCTTTGCAAACCCCATTGTAGGCTCCTTTGACATCGAAGCTGATCAAGCTCAGGACCCGACGGCCACGCCAGGCCGTGTAGATTTGCTCCTGCAGGAGCAGGAGCGCCTGTTCCGCTGATCGCTGTTTTCGGGCTCCAAAGTGAGTGGTTGGGAGCAGGCCGTATGTCTCCACTGCGTGTGAGATCCTTTCTGCCACCACCGACTCCAGGATCTTGCCCAGTGTCGCGAGAAGTGAAATTGGCCTCCAGGCTTTCGCGATGGTGTAGTCCTCTTTATTCGGCTTTTTAAGTGGTATGATTTTTGCATGTCTCCATTGACTTGGTAGCGTGCCCTCTTCCAGCGATGCCTGGAACAGGTCAAGAACCCTGTGTTTAACCGCGGGCCAGGTCATCTTCCAAACTATCGCCGGTAGGCCGTCTTCTCCAGGTGCCTTCCATGATTTTGCTGCGAGCAGCTGCCGCTCTACTTCCTCCATGGTGATGGCAGGCATCTCGACTGGCGCTCGTTGCGGTCTGGCCCCTTCCTCCTCAATATCGTCTGGTAGAGGAGGAAAGAATTTAGCCAGAAGCTCCTCTGCTTGTTCCTTGTGATCGGTGGTGGTGGTTCCATCTGCTCGGACGAGCTGTGGTACCTTCCCAAATGCTGTGTCATCTCCAGACTTTAGGTATTTGGCGGCCTTCCATATGTTGCTGTTGTCTGCCAGGAACTCCTTCCAGTACTTTTTCTTTTGTTGCCGGATGGCATCGTGGTATTGCTTCGCAGCACTTTTAGCTGTCTCTTCTAGGTGTGATGCGATTTGCCCTGCCCGTCGCTCCGATCGGGCGTGATTTCTCCAGTATGTGTAGATATAGCGGAGTTGTGTCAAGTCCGTTGTCCACCATCTCTTTGCGTACGGGGACGGTCTGGCCTTTGGCGTCAAGGCATGCACTGCCTCCAACACCGCAGACATTAGTCGGTCGGTTCTCTGCTGCACAGTGCCGTCCGACGGCGTGCTGTCCAGGCTTGTGGTAATTCTGGCATTAATCTCCTTCCAAGGCGCGTTTTTGAGCAGCAGTCGCTCCTGCTGTTTGGCAACCGGAACCGGAACGTCAAACACAGTCTCGATTGCGCGGTGGTCGGAGCCGTGCTCCGTCCCATGTATTGCACACTTCACCATGGAACCCGTCAGATTCTCCGAGGCAAGGACGAGGTCANCATTTTGTGGTGGCAAACTGCGAGATGTGCTAGGTTCCTGCCATCAGGACCAGTCCAAAGAGCCTTAGCACCATGCTTCAGGAGAAGCTGGCAGGTTTCCACTCGATCTCCAACCTTGAATGTGCTTAGATAGGTGCTTAGTGTATTGGAGAACTAGATTCGATAGGCCCACGACCGACTTGGTCTGAAGGGTTTGTAGGAGATCCGCGCGGGGGTCTAGGTCGAGGACTGGCTGAGGCTTGCGGTATGAACACCAGGAGGGTCGGATGGACGGGAACCGAGCGCTGGGATGGTTGATCCCGACGCTGATGACCCGGGCGGTAAGATGGAGCGCATACGCCCTGAGAGGTAGCACCCAGCAGGCTAGACCCTGCGCTCCCGACCAGGTCGGTCGTCAGACCGCGGTCCTACGACCACCACAGACGGAGAACCGCCAACCGGCGTCTACGGCAGGTGCAAGACCCAGACGGTCGTCTGGATACATTTGTGCGGCCTGTCTGGTCTGCCGACCACCCCAATGTTACTGAGTCTTCCACTCGTCCATCGCAAGCTCTCCCCCGAAATTCATAAAAATCTATCGTGTCATCGCGACCTGTGGACTACTGTGGGAAGCGATGGATGGTTGTCCTATTGGGTGGCCGGTACGGCCAACTAACTAGTTATCTAAGGTAACTGCTTACTAAGTGATGACTAAGCGAGGTCGAACCCCAGGGCAGGCGGAAGGGGACGTCCGTATGCTCCGACAACGACTTCCTGTCACGCCTTCATATTTGAAATACATTCGACCAATTGACAATCCGTATTTGTGGGGACCTGAGCTAGGCAGCAAGATTTTGGCAGAACCGGCGTTTCAAGGCACGCGCCAATCCCCGACCTCAGAAGGCCAAATTGTGGGTATTCAAGGTTCCCAGGGGTGAGTCGCTCACCCTAACAAGGTGAGCGACTCACCCCTTCTCACTCATGCGGTCGGGGATTGAGATTTTGGCAGAACCGGCGTTTCAAGGCACGCGCCAATCCCCGACCTCAGAAGGCCAAATTGTGGGTATTCAAGGTTCCCAGGGGTGAGTCGCTCACCCTAACAAGGTGAGCGACTCACCCCTTCTCACTCAGTCGCGCAAGCGCGCACGTGCAGGAAGCGCACTGATCACGGAATAACTCTCGGTCCGGCCCGTCGGCAGATCGAAGCTTGGCAGATCTGTCCACCACAGATCTCGGCGGCTTACTGTAAAAGGTGGAACGCTGCCCCTTCTCCCCGTCTTTTAAGATGTTAGGTATTGCGGTGGCTGAACCTTATGGCATGGCTTGGGAACAGATAGATAACTATAATGGAACTCGCTCCTGTAGAATATAACTCTTCAAGTCAGAAATAGAATCAACATTATATCAATATAAGTTCATCAACCAGCACTCACCTTCGGGGGTGATTTGCTCACCCTTCAAAGGGTGAGCGACTCACCCTCTGGGGTGAGTACAACAATATATAAAAGGACCCATGTTTCCCTGGACTAAGGGATCAAAGATACGTACCTTCTACTGCCTAGTTCATCATTAAGAACTTTAAACGGTTTCCTCATGGCGAAATTGGCTACTCCAAGAAGAATCCGTCGCCGCATGTCTAATCAAAAAAAGGCAAAGCGTCAACAATATAATCGACGAGGAGACACCTTGTTCCGCAAAGCGTTTGAGTTCTGTCAAGAATGTGACGCGGATGTCTCATTAACGGTTCGGCTGAGAAATAATGGCCAGATTTTCATGTTCAACTCGGATGATCGATGGCATCCGTCACCACAAGACTTGGTAAGTATTATCCCCAAAGCTGCCTTGCTTTGCTTACGGTGTTTAGGCAGTTTACTACCCTGTACCATTAAGGGTTACCTGGCAAGAGCTGGCCGCGAAATATGATCCTTGAATAGAGATATGCCTGCGGTGGGAAATCAAATTCATTGGCCGCATTCCAGGCCACGAGGAAGGTGGGTTTGGGCAAGGGTGGCAAGATATCTGTTTGCCACGGCGATCTACGCAAGTGAGCTTTATTTTAAAATCGATGCATAGATAATTAGTCTACAGTGTAGTATAGAGCTTCGTGTACGGAGTCTATTCCGTACGAAATCAAATTGGATTTCCAAGTACAGTAATATGTTCTCTCTAAAAATTCCCCGAGTTCGTTGGAAGAAAGAATTTGGAAGAGAAGGCGAAGTCTCTCGGAAAGTGGGCGATAGCTTTGACCCTGACAGGGGTGGACCAATGAGTCACCCGTTGTGAGGCATGGCGATTAAGTTAGCTAAACTTAGCGCCAGGCGACCATGTGAGTGTTCTTGCAGTTCATTCTTGTGGTTCCAGTGTGTTCAACGCAACAGATTTCAGAGAAGCCCAGCGTTTGAGAGAAAAGGAAAGGGCAAAAAGAAGGGTGTTTTTCTTGAAGCCTTAGAAAGCTATTCAAGCAAAAAGCGGGGTTGGTAAAGAACTCCTGTCATCAAATGTGTTCAACATCTGTTGGAAGCAATGGGTTCATCGAATCACAGGCAGAGCTGGGAAGATCTTGACGCTCCTCAAAAAAGCGCAAGTCTCGAAATAAAATATTGGTTGAACACTTGAACCGCAAGAACGGCCCACATGGTGGCTTCACCAGTGACTGACTCATTGGTCCCACTCCTTCAGACAGACAGAAAACAGCGGCCCAGCTTTCTCCCACCTCAAGGTGGGAGTACACTCCGCACACAAATAATATAAGGGGCCCGCCGCCTCCAGAGAATCTTCTTCTAGAAAAGAGTGAGAATTTTGAGGAGAAAAGGCGCAAGTCTCAAAAGATAAGTGATGGCTTTGACCCTGACAGGAGTACTCGTCAGCGCTTGGCTGAAGGCGCTCCCGTAAAGCAAGGAAGCGGCTCAGATTAAGATGACTCATCTGATCGCGCGATGATCGCGCGATCATTTACTCTGATAGTTTCGCGTATATTTAGCTCCCCTATTCTGGGGCCATGTTTTCTTGTAACCCATGGCTATCGCATACGCGCCGTTGGTGCATGAGCAACTCCACTCTGCGTGCGCTTGATCACCATACCCATCGCCAAGGTTTCGGCGAGAAACGTGGTCATCGCGTACGCCGGGTCTGCGCGTACACACTTTTAGTCTTCACGCCAGCAGCTACCCTACTCGGATCTAGAGGACCATGGCTCTGCATATGCCCGACATGCGCACATGCTTTCTATTTCCCGACGCGCCCATCTTCCCTACGCATATCTCGAGACCGTGGCTCTGCACACGCCCAAAGTACGCACACGCCTTGCTTCTCTCTATGCATCCATCTTCCATGCGCATAATTCAGGAAACCATGGCTGTGCGTATGCCCAATTGGCGCATATTCTTTCCTTTTTCCTACGCGCCCGTCTTCCCTACTCATAATCCAGGGAACCATAGCTTTGCGTATGCCTGATGCACGCATGTGCTCTCCCTCTCTGTGCCCATACGCCACAGTTTCAGTGGGATTATCGCTATGGCATACGCCCTATTAGTGGCTACGCTGCTGCACTAATCTTACAAATAATGGTGATCACCACGTAACTATGCCCTTCATGGATCGTTAGGAAGCTATTTTTAACGTTACGGATGCGATAATATTGATATAATCTACTAGTATCCAGACGAAATATTATGCCTATTCGGTGTTAACACGGATTTTAGACACGCAGCACAAATGGCATAGTAGCAGGTAGGGTAGAGGGTGCTTGTGGATGGTGGATGGAGATAAAAGTTGAGTATTAAGTTAGTTCTCGCAACGCTGACGAAGCGCTGCACGTGTCTGGTGGCTTGCTTCCCGCAGGAACCGAAGCATTTCTGCCTAAGGCATTAAGAGTCCGTGTGTGGTACATTAGTAATCAAACATAAACAAATGCGCAGGTGCCGCGTCACTACTCCCCTGATGATGAGTTGCGTCGCGCAGTGTCCCAACAGGGGGTTCATATCCGCTGGATTCCTGACATCAAATTAACCACTAGCTATGCAGGAAGATATTGCCGAGTTACGACGTCAACTGGAGGAAGCGAGACACGCACGGGAAGAGGAGAGACACGCACGAGAAGAGGCAGAAAAGCGGCGGGAAGAGGAGAGACACGCACGGGAAGAGGCAGAACGGAGGCAGGAAGAGGCAGAAAAGCGGCGGGAAGAGGAGAGACACGCACGGGAAGAGGCAGAACAGCGTTTGCAACCTACTGCTCTGTTTCACCTCCTTGACCGCTGCCACGAATATCTGTCACAGGAGATCCGAGTTGAGACAGATGCAGCCTTGACAACCCAAGGCAACGTGACTGACCCAGTCAATCGACTTTACCCCAAAAAGATTATACCTTGGACTGATTTTCCTGATCTCCAAGAGCGAATCTGGGAGAGACTCGAGCGTGCAGTTGACTTCACCTCGCGTCCACTCTTTCCCTCCGACACCCAGTTAGACTACGTCGCAACGAATATCCGGGACCGGCCGATTTACTCAGAAGCAACTTTACGAAATTTCGAGCGAGACACCGTGGATAACTTTGTTGAAAAGATTATCGAGGCCTTACAAGATGATGAAACTTTGCGACGGGAGTTTGGTATAGAGGGTCGAGTCGC